GGGAGGTGATGCACGACGGAGGTCCGGTCCCGGTGCACAAGGAGGCGATGCACGAGGGCTGCCCGGTGCGTGGTGACGTGATGCACGAGGGGAAGGTCCGGGCCTGGTGCGCGAGGAGGCTGGTGCACGAGGGGTGGTGATGCACGAGGAGCTGATGCAACGAGGGGAGGTCCGGTCCTGGTGCAAGGAGGGTGATGCACGAGGTGGGGGGGAGAGGGTCGGCGGAGGGGGGGGCTGGCTTGGTCCTGGTGCATGGGGAGGTGATGCACGGGGAGCTCCGGTCCTGGTGCACGAGGAGGTGCCGCACAAGGGATGCCCAGTCCTGGAGCACGTGAAGCTGTTGCACGAGGCCACCCTGATCCCGTTGCACGAGGCCACCATGATCCTGATGCACGAGGGGGCCCCCGCCGCCGCCGAGTCTCGCTGCACGATGAGCCGGTGCACGAGGGCTTGGCTTGATCCTGGTGCACGAGGAGCCAATGCACGAGGCCAGCCCAGTCCCAGTGCACAAGGCTGTCCCGCTCCCGGTGCACAAGGTCGCCCCAGTCCCGGTGCACAAGGAGCTGTTGCACGAGGAGTCGGTGCACGAGGCCTCCCTGCCCCCATTGCACAAGGACCCGATGCACAAGGAGCTGATGCATGAGGCCACCCCTGTCCCGGTGCACAAGGAGCCGTTGCACGAGGCCACCTTTTTCCCATCACACGAGGAGCTGTTGCACGAGGTCTCCCTGCTCCCCTTGCCTGAGGAGCCGTTGCACGAGGAGCAGTTGCACGAGGAGCCATCGCATGAGGCCTCCCTGTCCCTGGTGCACGAGGTGCCCTTGCACGAAGCCTCCCCGCTCCCGTCGCACGAGGAGCCCTTGCGGGAGAAGCCGTTGCGCCAGGCTTCCCCCGCTCCTGTTGCACGAGGAGCCCTTGCAGGAGGAGCCGTTGCCCAAAGAGCCCTTGCACGAGGCTGCCCCGCTCCCGTTGCACGAGGGAGCCGTCGCACGAGGCCGCCCCGCTCCCGTCGCACAAGGAGCCCTTGCACGAGGCCGCCCCGCTCCCTCGCACGAGGGAGCCGTCTCGCGTGAAGCCTCCCCGCTCCCTC